TCTTCGAGTCATTTGTTCTTGAATCAGCATAATTATCTTCAATATAGCCGTTGAAAATCAAGAGATTGATTTTTCCTTACCAACGAGTAGAATTTCTTCATTCAGGACTTAGATAATTTTTCTAAGTCTTTTCTCACTTGTCCGCTTTCTGAGAATTCCGGTCTTCAGTGAGTCTTCCGATTCTTAGCTGACAAATCCGGATGAGTCATTTTCAGACTTCCGGGTGAGAAGGAGATCCGTGCTAGTCTTCCGATTTGGATGGCTTAGACTTCAGCGGGTTGTAGCGAGACATCCGGTTCTTATGTAGTCTTCCGGATCAGAGGATTTTCGTTTGCTTGAGAAAATCCTTACTTGTCTCTGACATTTCCGAACAAGATATCCGATTTCCATATCACTGAATTTGATTAAGTCTTCAGGCATCAAAACGCTTAAAGATATATCATAGCTTTTATTGGAAATCCCAAGTGCTCGGTTTTGACAGTATTTCTAAAAAGGAAAATTACATTGAATATTTGGGGAGACCTAAAGTCCCTAATACATTCTAAATACATCATCATCAAAATCTATAATATTTTTCCCAACACTTTTTACCATAAGCACTGAATAAAGAAATATCAAAATCCTAATCTCTTTCTCTACCTCTTCTTTTTGTTGTAGATTTGCACCCGCAAATCAAAGATAGAACAATGGAGATGGCGGCAACCGATCTCTTTTTTTGTGTTTTTTTTGTTTTTTTAGAAATTCTCTCAATGAAAGCACCAATTGATACGAATATCGTATCGGATAGAGAAGAACTTCGAGCGTTCTTCAAGCTCCAAGAAGAAGAGGTAGAGAAAGAGATTAGGATTTTGATATTTCTTTATTCAGTGCTTATGGTAAAAAGGTTTGATTACAATATATAGAGACGAGGGGGTCGTGGAACACCCTAATTAACCTAATGGGCTCGGGCCCATACTAAAACCCTAAACAAGATTAACTATTGAATATTAAATGACTACTAATTAATAAATAATATAACTAATAAAAAAAACGGTCGATCAGTAGCTGTTTTACCATCTCAATTCTCAATCTACTGCTGAAGCTTCTGGAAAATAACTGCACCAAATTGTCTCTTTATTCTAGTAGCCGTACCCCATAATTTGTGAGGCCTTCATCCAACTTTATTTGTCGGTGATCTCAAATTCCTTGAGGCCACAATTGCCTTTTGACTACGGGAAGTCGGCACGACGCCAACAACTAAAAAGTATAGTCGGATCAACCGGTGGAAGCTTCAATTCGGTGCCAATTCTTTGGTTGGGCTAAGTATTACAGAGTATATTTTTTTTTTTGAGTGAAGAATTGCTAGATTCAAATTAACTGCCGCGAGACTTGAGGTATTTTCTGTGATATTTTTGTGTGGTAGAGTTTATTTTGACAATGAACTAAACGTTGGATGGGCTTCTTAGTTTGCTAAAGGAGGTTCTTTAGGGTGAAATTGAGTATGATGAAGGGGTGTGTTTGATTTTTGATCATGTGTATGAAATTATTATGAAGCTCAGGTCGATCCATAATTTTGAAGGTCAAATTGATTATAATGCGCTCGACGTAGAAATTTTTTGCTCGGTACAGGATTTGGTTCGTTGACCTCCAATTGTGCCAAGTCAAATTTCTTTTGAGTTACAAATTTTCAGCACACACATTATGGATATTATATGAAAAGTGACAGGCGCTCCACTTTCTCCACCCACGTTGCCCCCAAGATGTGACGGAACCAAACCCGTGCAGTGGTTAGCTACGGTATGTGAGTATTTCCAGTTTTATGAAGTCCCTTTAGTTGATCGTTTGAACCGTGTGACATCAATGTTAGAGGGCTCTGCCTTGGCTTGGTTTAATTGGCGTATGTGTGGCGGCTTAATTGATGGTTGGGAGGATTTTGTTGAAAAGTTCAAGATTCGATTCGCTCCGTTACATGCTTTGGATCATATTTCTTTTGAGAAGACATCAGAAAAGGCTAGAGACACATTTGTCCACATGATGGAAGATGTCACCACACTCCCCACCGCGACTAAGGAGGACATAGACGAGTCAAAAGAATCGAGTGCCAGGTCTCATATCAAAGAGGATGAATATAGCGGGTCTGAAGTCGTTGGCAATGATGGTGGTGTCATTAATGAAGATGGTGGTGCTAATATTAATAGTGATACGCCATCCCACGAGTCAAATTCTACACCTCGTAAATTACATGTGCCACTAAATGCCCTAATCGAGGTAGAAATGACAACGTATGACGTTCTAGAAAGTGTCAACAAGGTGGACGGTGAAAATTGTAACCAAGCGGCCCACTTCATTTCTTTGGATACCATTAAGTTGTTTGATCTTGTCAAGTCCGAGCACCAGGTTTCAAAGAAAATGATTCGACGAAAGTTTGGTCTTCACTTTTATTTATGTCGATATACTTCACCCGAGAAGCTTTTTGAAGATTGGTCAACAAATGAATGTCTCTTCTGGTTTGTCACGTTCTCACATATCCAAAAACATGAGTGGGATCCTCCACCTTGAGGACAAGGTGATTTTTAAGGGGGTGAGAATAATACGGATGGTAGATTAGTTATATTATTTATTAATTAGTAGTCATTTAATATTCAATAGTTAATCTTGTTTAGGGTTTTAGTATGGGCCCGAGCCCATTAGGTTAATTAGGGTGTTCCCCGACCCCCTCGTCTCTATATATTGTAATCAATCCTTTTTACCATAAGCACTGAATAAAGAAATATCAAAATCCTAATCTCTTTCTGTACCTCTTCTTCTTGGAGCTTGAAGAACGCTCGAAGTTCTTCTCTATCCGATACGATATTCGTATCAGAGGGGTTTCGGCCGGGAGTTTGTATTTGCTGCATGTCCATAATTTGTTGTTCCATCAAGAACAACAATAGCAAGAGATTGCTATAACTTGTTTGAAGAGGAGAAAAATAAGTTAAAGTCTTACTTTAAAAGTACAGGTCAACGATTGTCATTGACCAGTGATACTTGGACATCAAATCAAAAAGATAACATATCTCTAGATCCTTCAAATACTTCATCTGGTGCACATGGTGCTTCTGAAAGTGACATGGGAGAAAGAAAAAACATAAGACTCCACAAAAAAGGTATATGCAAATGTTATTAGAAATTGGAGTGTGTGATCAATCTGAGTTGGACTTGTATATACAAGAGCCAATTGTGAAAGATCATCCACATTTTGACATTCTTGATTGGTGGAAAGTCAATAGTCCAAGGTTTCTGATTTTTTTATCCGTGTTAGCTCGAGATGTGTTGGGGATGCCAATAACTACTGTGGCTTCAGAATCTGTCTTTAGCACTGGTGGGCGTGTAATTGATGACTTTAGGTCTTCATTAACTCCAAAGATGTCACAAGCTTTGATTTGCACACAAGATTGGCTCCGTCATTCTCCTATTTGTTGCGTGGAGGAAGAAGAAGAATTTTGTCAAAAACTCGAGAAAGGTAAGTTCCTAGAATGCATAAATACTCTTCATAGTTAATCTTTCGATTATTTTGTTTCATAGCACTTTAAGTTTTTTTAAACTGTTTTTTTCTTATAGAGTTGGTGATAAACCATGGAGTTGACACTAATATTCTTGGATTATGATTACCCCTTGGATTGGAGTCTAGTATTTGGTAAATGGTATTATTATTTATGTCTTAAATACTTAAGATTACTCGCAATTTATTTATTTGTTTCATAAATCCCTTTACAATTTTTTTTTACAGGATTGTTAGAAGCATTGGAAATCTGAAGTTGTTGGAGAATGGATAACATGAAATAATAAATGTTTTTTGGAATGGGCAATTGTATTATTTCTACAACTATTTTGTATTGTATTATGTGATGGATCTAATTGTGTTATGTTATTTTGACTTTGTAGTATGTAATGGATTTAAACATCATGAATCTAATTGTGTTTTGTTATTTTAAATTTGGAGAATGTACAGAATCTTTAGACTTCAAAGTCCTTTTTTTCAGTTTTTGGTAAAACCGTTTACCAAACCGAAGTATTTCAGTTTGGACCGAACCGATTAAGTTAATTTCGGTTCGGTATTCGGTACAAAAAATAAATAACCGAATTTTCGGTTCGGTTCGGTATGGTTTTACCGAATGAACTTCCCTAGTGGTAAGGACAACTAGATTCGGTAATAAGATACTTGGGTTGAACCACAATAAAATATTTAATCCAATCGATTAGTTAGTTCAAGTCAAGAGCTTATATACCGATTGTTACACTGTTGGACTTCTGATGTGGGATGCACTTTAACACTCCCCCTCAAGTGGACAACCGGGCCATTTTGAATTTAACCGGTTGACCACTTACAGATGAACTCCCATTCCCTTGACTTTTTTTAGTGCCAACACCTAAAGGACCACGAGCTGCTAGTTATGGACTTCCAGATGAGCAATCATGTTGTAACGCCATGAAAACCGGTCTAGAAGAATTAACTGTGCAAATCGCCGATTTTGACCGCGTGGGTCCCGACGGCCTGAAAAATAAAAATATTAGGAAAAATATTTTGAATACATCTTTGCGTTCCAATTATTTTTCCAAGTCTGAAAGTGTGATCGGTTTCGAAATCGAACTCTGTTTGGAAAATAACCCAAAATTCAAACAGATAAACTATTTCATCTGGAACAGGGATTTAATCCAAAATCCCACATTCATCCCCCAAATTATTCCCAGGATTCCCCATCAATCCCCACCATCATCTCCTCTCCATCACCACATCACCATGTTGGAACACCCTCCAACATCCACCACCACCATACCTCCTTCCTCTCTTAGACTTTTGCTCCTTGGAGGTTGAGAGAGTGTGTCAATGTCCCCTCTCCTTCAATCCCTGATTTTTGAATAAAGGGAGACCCCCTCCCTTCACTTATTCATTTTCACACATTAGAATACATTGGTCATCTTCTTCATCAAGCTTCTTCCACCATTAATGGAGTTTTGGGAAGAAAACTCTAGGTAAGTGAGTATGTTCCATATATATCGTTATTATACTCATTTTAAATCCCTTCTCACGTCATATACCTATGCGATATCAAGGCTCGAAGAGAAGACCTCAAGACAAGGAAAACTAGAAGTAGATAGTGACGTCCGTTCGTTGAACGTACGTGAGGTGTTAAGATCATTGTTTTCCCTACGAACTCTAAGGTCTGTACCCCAGACTCGTTATGACGTTAGATTCCTTGAATCATTCATAATACATGATTTCACATACCTACATGTCATTTTAAGTTAGTCATACCAATAGTCTCGATAAAACGCTCAACTTGATACCCGTGAATCGTTGTTGACGGAGAATGTCCAAAATTGTGCCAAAAATGTTCCTACACAACTTAGAGATTCAAAGTAGAGTATATACTTTCAATATATACATTTTTGGAAACATTCCGTAGCTTAAAACGAACCCAAAAACCCACAGGAACTGTCAGGGGATCGATCCCCAGCATTGGATCGATCATCTAGTGTTAGAATTAAGCCCCAGAACCCGTTTTTAAGATTCGTGGGATCGACCCAAGCCTCTGGATCGATCCTCTAGGGTAAATTTTACTAAAACGCAGATTTTTAAGGGTCGGGCGATCGATCCCCCGACGTTCCAACTCAGATTTGAACTGTTTTTCGATGTCGTATGGATGATAAATCTTTGGTATTTGTTTCATTGAGTTATAACCATATTTAAACTCCCAAAAACACTAAAAATGAATGTTTTTGACTAGAAAAAACTATAATCCTAAGAATCATTCGATCACCCCTTCGGAGATCGATCACCCGATGCCCCAACTCGAATTTTATTCGTTTTCGACATTGTATGGATGATGAATGTTTGGTATTAATTTGATTGATTTATAACCATATTTTAAATTTCTAAAATACTTAAAATGAATGTTTTGGACTATAAGAACTCTAATACCAAAATTGAGTATGTCAAATCATATTTTCCAAAAAAATGTTATTAACCAAACGATATCAATGGACGAGTTGGACTAAAAGAATCATAGTAATAAATTATGTGGTTTAACCTTGATTTGCTAGCATGATCCAAATCATGGAAATGATTAAATGATAACTAAGGATTAAAAAGGATATTATGGACGATATTATGTTGTAGACTTTATGGTATAATGTTATATGCTCGAATCCGTAAAAGTGATGATTTTGATGGCGACACTAATAAACAAAAAGGTATTTTTGGATAGTTTAAATCTAGATTATTTCTAGTGGGAAAATTATGGATTTGAGTGTATAGATGTGGGCGATATTAGGAGTTGAGTATGTACGTACATTAGGTCCGCGAACCGGTCAGGCGCCAGGGGATCACTCAACCCGTGTGTCTGGAACCAGAAGAGTATTTATACCCAGACTGGGAAAGGCCACGGAACAAACTCTGAACCTGAAGAGAAGGGCGCTCGGACCCAGACTCAGGGGAAGTTTTATCGAGTCTGCCTCTACGGAGAATGACTTAGTATGGTGTGAGGTTAATACATAAATGATTAAGAATCAGGAATGTCACTATTATTGTATAATGATGGGTTAAATGAATGATGTTGATTTACTATTAAATATGGATCTCTCTTGATGAAATGATGGAACAAAAATTATTTGTCTATCTATGAATAAAGTGTATTTAGAAATAATACCCTTGTTTTAATAAGTACTTTGGATGTATATTATTATTATACGAAGTGATGCTCTTACACCTTGTCATAAAATGAAGAATTTCCGGATTTTATAATTAAAGGTTTCACAGAAAAATAAATAATGTGGATTTTCTTAAATAAAAGGGTTTAAAAAGGGTATTGATTCTCATAAATATGTGAATGTGTTTTATGAATTATTCTATGAAATCTACGTTGTGGTACCACTCAGCGGTTTCGTTGAGCGCACAGTTGTCTTTGTTGTGTGACTGTGCGTAGGTAATAAGCTATGGCGTCCATCCGGAAGATGCAGAGGTGGGAGAGTTGGCTGAAGGATGCGGGAACTATTTTTAATAATTTAAAGTATTTTGGGCTTGAACCCATATATGTAAATATGTTGAATTTTATTAAGCTTCCGCAACGATTAAAATTAAATTACTCCGAAAATTATTTTATCATATTTTGAGGAAATTATGTGTTAAATATTTTTAAATTATTGTTACTATTATTTTTAAAAGATTATGGAATGTTACTTTACCAAATTGCTAGCACTTTGGTCCGCTAACTTGTGTGAACCGGGTTATGCGAATCGGGGTGTTACAACTTGGTATCGGAGCAAAATGGTTTTAAAAACGGTCTTCGGACCAAAGTGACTAAAGGCCCGCATCCGCGCTCTCCACGATCTCTGCACTTCGGAAGGTAACTCAACACTTTATAATATAATTAACTATTATACTTGAATAAAAAAAATATTACTTGTAGTACCAAGGCATGATGAACTACCCTACACATTAAGGAAATTTGACGAGTCATATATTATTGGAAGGAAGCGATGGCGGAATCAACGATGATTACAAACGTCACTATCAAATCTCAAACAAACTGTAGATATGATACGTATCGCCAAACGTTAGATCTTTAATCACGTCGAAATCCCTTAAGGGGGGAGAGACGTTGTACTTTACAAACCTATTATAGATTCTCGGAAGAAAACATAGGCATTAAGTGAGACGATAATCTTGCCTTCGATAAGATCGGAGAAAATATAGTAAATTGAAAGGAAATAAAATTTATTGGGATAAAAAATTCATATTGTCATGATACATTTTGACGTTGGAGATAAATATTCTTCTAAATTTCACTGGCCGTGAAGCTTATAACAATATATATATAACCAAATCATGATGTCCATGAACAATGTTATATTAATACAAACACAATTTAAATTACATGAGAAAGATTACAAGTGCAACTCTAAGTCTAATCCCCTAGGATTAGCAAATTCTTCATAACTTCCCCCAGGTCCCGGAAAAGCCTTAGCAAACTCTAGTTTGATCAATAAAGAAAGAGGAAATGAATAATTTCCTCTGGTTGAGAACCATTAAATTATGCCTCACCGCATCGTCCAGAAACTTGAGAAGATTATTAAACAACCATCGATATTTAATAGACCGATGGGTTTGCTATGCAATCCTTCGGATGCCCATGAGATTAGAGTGAACAAACCCTCGATAGTTTCGACTCCTCCAGGGAGTACTATGAAAGCTTCCACCGCATGGTTCATCTCAAAATACTTGTAGTAATTGCTCGATACTGTAAGCTCTACACCGTACGTATGACCATAGACCCGTCGTAAAGCTATATACCCAGGTACAAAGCCTAGAACAAAACCGCCATTGGCGAAAACAGTTGAAGCAACAACGCCTTGAAGGCCAACACTACCTCCTCCATAAACAAGTTTGATATTCCGCTTCACCAGTTCCCTCCCTAAATTTACTGATGTATCCATAAACTTTGGATTACTACCAAAGGAATGACTACCCAAGAGGCCTACTGATTTTATTGTGTAAGGAAGAGTTCGAGAAGTTCCTTCCATGATATGAGAAAGAGTTTCTCTTCATTATCCTAATATATACTCGGTACCCTATCATTGGAAAAGAGTAACTATCACGTCACGAACTTAGGAAGTGACTGATCTGAGTCCCAAGGTCAAGAAGTGAACATAATGATGGATCCACGAGAATAGTAGATTCGATTTACCACGAACTTTAGGATAAGACGAGTGAACGTGCTACGTAATTAATAGAGTTTTGCTCACGATATGACATTTTGAGAATCACGAATAGTTGGATTCGCAATCCTAAAATGTTGAAAAACACGCTTGATTTGTAGTACAAGTCAAAAAGCCTAGAACCCTAAGACATTGACACCGAAATGACTTCCAAATAAGATGCCCTATTTAAACAATGAGATTCGAGTAAGAATCCTTCATAAACCAAACAATTTCATACTACCAAGTAAAATCTAGAATCCTTTGATGGCCTCAAATCAACCCAATGTTGAATCCTTTACTCAAAGTAAGGGAAAAGAGAGAGTCACTCAAGAAATCCAAGTCCTGAATCCCAACTTCTTTTACTCACCAAAAAAACCCGTATCTAAACCAGCAACTATACCAGAGAATACTAGCCAACCCAGAGTGAACCATAATATGGTACGATATCTAACCCAGGCTCTAGCCCTTGGGTGCGATACTTACAATGGAAGTAATAGCGTAACTGGTGCACAAAGATGGTGGCGGAAGATACTTAACACATTCAACCAGCTGGATATGCTAGACAGGGATAGACTCCAAGTCGCAGAAGAGCTACTTACAGGAACTCCACGCATAGGATGGGAGCAGACTAAGAGAACTTTGAGCAAACCCAAATGGTCCATATTCGTGCGAGGATTTATTCATAGCCATATCCCACTATTAGACTGTCAACTCGCAAATGATATCTTTTTCAATATCAAGCAAGGTAATGGAAAGGTCCATGAGTTTGAAGAAGCACTATGGAGATATTCTGCACTGGTGCCAGATTATGCTACCTCGGAAAACACCTTGTGTGGGCAATTCATAACCGGCATGAATTCCAACATTCGTCGTCTTTTAGGAGTGATTGACATTGACAAATTCAAGGCATTGGTGTTCGCAGCTGAAGAAATAGAGACGATCCTCCAAGGTAAACAACGGAAACTTGGTGCTACTATTGAAAAAGGAAAGGAACAAGCTACCACGTCAAAGCCTAGTAGTAGAAAAAGAAAAAGTGCCGATGGTAATAAGTGTAGTGAATCCGGTCACTCGCTAGCCGAGTGTAATGTTGATTTAAATAAACCTCTTTAGATTGTCTCAAGTCTCTCTCGAACTTATTCAATCAGTTTCTAATAAAATTTTTATTCTCTGATAAGAGAAAAGTTGTTTTATATTCAGCAGTTATACCAAAGGTACACTAAAGGTCTTGCTCAAATATGTCTTTTGAAATAATTGATGAAAATTAAGGATTAACCTGATTAATATCAGAATTCTACTAATGTTTTGTTAATCAAGTGACGTAATTGGAATGGAACTAACAACCTTATTTAGAAGGGGCTGCAGACCCGAAAGAATAAGAGTGTTAGATTTTGTTACCAGACGGGCTTTAGTATATTAAATGGATAAATATATATAAAGTGTTTCTTCTCAATTTTCTATTATAAATAATGGTGACATTCAATTCAGATGTGTTATGGGTAACATTGGATCCTGTACAAGGATTACCAAAGAATGGTATTACCGCTCGAAAATCAAGACATTGAAACTAAGACTAAAATGGTGCTACTAATAGTTACAAATGAATGGGTTAGAATGATAATGACTTGATATCCTCGAATACAGTTTTTGTAAATCCTATCCTCTTGATTTAAATTCTCCACCCGCTCAAAACAAAATTCGTAAACGAGAAAATGACTATGGTAACCAAATTTCATCATAATGTGAAATACAATCAGACCTTGTTGAAGGATTTCTTCCTTACTTAAATTTTGAGGACGAAATTTTTTTTAAGGGGGAGAGAGTTGTAACGCCACGAAAACCGGTCTAGAAGAATTAACTGTGCAAATTGCCGATTTTGACCGCGTGGGTCCCGACGGCCTGAAAAATAAAAATATTAGGAAAAATATTTTGAATACATCTTTGCGTTCCAATTATTTTTCCAAGTCCGAAAGTGTGATCGGTTTCAAAACCGGACTCTGTTTGGAAAATAACCCAAAATTCAAACAGATAAACTATTTCATCTAGAATAGGGATTTAATTCCAAATCCCACATTCATCCCCCAAATTATTCCTAGGATTCCCCATCAATCCCCACCATCATCTCCTCTCCATCACCACATCACCATGTTGGAACACCCTCCAACATCCACCACCACCATACCTCCTTCATCTCTTGGACTTTTGCTCCTTGGAGGTTGAGAGAGTGTGTCAATGCCCCTCTCCTTCAATCCCTGATTTTTGAATAAAGGGAGACCCCCTCCCTTCACTTATTCATTTCCACACATTAGAATATATTGGTCATCTTCTTCATCAAGCTTCTTCCACCATTAATGGAGTTTTGGGAAGAAAACTCTAGGTAAGTGAGTATGTTCCATGCATATCGTTATTATACTAATTTTAACTCCCTTCTCACGTCATATACCTATGCGATATTAAGGCTCGAAGAGAAGACCTCAAGACAAGGAAAACTAGAAATAGATAGTGACGTCCGTTCGTTGAACGTATGTGAGCTGTTAAGATCATTGTTCTCCCAACGAACTCTAAGGTCTGTACCCCAGACTCGTTATGACATTAGATTCCTTGAATCATTCATAATAAATGATTTCAAATACCTACATGTCATTTTAAGTTAGTCATACCAATAGTCTCGATAAAACGCTCAACTTGATACCCGTGAATCGTTGTTGACGGAGAATGTCCAAAATTGTGCCAAAAATGTTCCTACACAACTTAGAGATTCAAAGTAGAGTATATAATTTCAATATATACATTTTTGGAAACATTCCGTAGCTTAAAACGAACCCAAAAACCCACAGGAACTGTCAGGGGATCGATCCCCGGCATTGGATCGATCATCTGGTGTTAGAATTAAGCCCCAGAACCCGTTTTTAAGATTCGTGGGATCGATCCAAGCCTCTGGATCGATCCTCTGGGGTAAATTTTACTAAAATGCAGATTTTTAAGGGTCGGGCGATTGATCCCCCGACGTTCCAACTCAGATTTGAACTGTTTTTCGATGTCGTATGGATGATAAATCTTTGGTATTTGTTTGATTGAGTTATAACCATATTTAAACTCCCAAAAACACTAAAAATGAATGTTTTTTACTAGAAAAAACTATAATCCTAAGAATCGATTCGATCACCCGATGCCCCAACTCGAATTTTATTCGTTATCGACATTGTATGGATGATAAATGTTTGGTATTAATTTGATTGATTTATAACCATATTTTAACTTCCTAAAATACTTAAAATGAATGTTTTGGACTATAAGAACTCTAATACCAAAATTTAGTATGTTGAATCATATTTTCCAAAAAAATGTTATTAACCAAACGATATCAATGGACGAGTTGGACTAAAAGAATCATAATAATAAATTATGTGGTTTAACCTTGATTTGCTAGCATGATCCAAATCATGAAAATGATTAAATGATGAGTAAGGATTAAAAAGGATATTATGGACGATATTATGTTGGAGACTTTATGGTATAATGTTATATGCTCGAATCCGTAAAAGTGATGATTTTGATGGCGACACTAATAACCAAAAAGGTATTTTTGGATAGTTTAAATCTAGATTATTTCTAGTGGTAAAATTATGGATTTGAGTGTATAGATGTGGGCGATATTAGGAGTTGAGTATGTACGTACATTAGGTCCGAGAACCGGTCAGGCGCCCGGGGATCACTCAACCCGTGTGTCTGGAACCAGAAGAGTATATATACCCAGACTGGGAAAGGCCACGGAACAAACTCTGAACCTGAAGAGAAGGGCGCTCGGACCCAGACTCAGGGGAAGTTTTATCGAGTCTGCCTCTACGGAGAATGACTTAGTATGGTGTGAGGTTAATACATAAATGATTAAGGATCAGGAATGTCACTATTATTGTATAGTGATTGGTTAAATGAATGATGTTGATTTACTATTAAATATGGATCTCTCTTGATGAAATGATGGAACAAAAATTATTTGTCTATTTATGAATAAAGTGTATTTAGAAATAATACCCTTGTTTTAATAAGTACTTTGGATATGTATTATTATTATACGAAGTGATGCTCTTACACCTTGTCATAAAATGAAGAATATCCGGATTTTATAATTAAAGGTTTCACAGAAAAATAAATAATGTGGATTTTCTTAAATAAAAGGGTTTAAAAAGGGTATTGATTCTCGTATATATGTGAATGTGTTTTATGAATTATTTTATGAAATCTACGTTGTGGTACCACTTAGTGGTTTCGTTGAGCGCACAGTTGTCTTTGTTGTGTGACTGTGCGTAGGTAATAAGCTATGGCGTCCATCCAGAAGATGCAGAGGTGGGAGAGTTGGTAGAAGGATGCGGGAACTATTTTTAATAATTTAAAGTATTTTGGGCTTGAACCCATATATGTAAATATGTTGAATTTTATTATGCTTCCGCAACGATTAAAATTTAATTACTTCGAAAATTATTTTATCATATTTTGAGGAATCTACGTGTTAAATATTTTTAAATTATTGTTACTATTATTTTTAAAAGATTATGGAATGTTACTTTACCAAATTGCTAGCAGTTTGGTCCGCTAACCCGTGTGAACCGGGTTATGCGAATCGGGGTGTTACACATGTTAAACGGGCCACGGGCCGTGTGGTACATACTCCATACGGACAATATGGGGCTAAAGACTAACAGGCCGCTAGGAATGAACTTCTAGATGGACACCTTGACAAATGAGGTGGGCCAAAACCTGCTCAAATAACATGATAGAATTTAGGATGGGGTAAGGACAACTGGATTGGGTAATAAGACACTTGGGTTGAACCATATTAAAAGATTGAATCCAATCGATTAGTTAGTTCAAGTCAAGAGCTTATATACAGATTGTTTTACTCTTAGTCTTCTGATGTGGAAAGCACTTTAACATATGGTTCTAAACTCTTCTTTTCTTAAGCTGAAGCAAAGTATAGGGGTAGCCATTGCCGTCGTTGTTGCAAGCTGGTTACGTAATCTGCTTCTTTAACTACATGTTCTAGTTCAAAGACCACGTATTGTATCTTGTGACAATGTGCCTACTATCGAATAAACTTGGTTTGTTAAATATTTTATTCTGATGTTAACAAATAATATATGAACTACTATTTTTTAGTGTTTCAAAAAAACAAGAATATATTAAGTAACAATTCTCAAGAATGAAGGTTAAACACCAAACTAGAATGTAAAATTGAATGCAAAAATATGATTTTATATGCCTATATTCACAAGATCAATTTTTACTCACAAACGAGTTTAGCACTATCATATAAACATTTTCAAATACTCAAAAGGTTATAAACACAAACGAGAAAGGATTCAACCAAAGTTAAAACGCATTTTCAAAAGTTGTAGAACGAGTTGGTTGGGAATACACTAACGCCAAACGGTAATGCACTACCCGTTAAAGGTAATGCACTATCGTGTAGTAGCTATTGGCGGACACTAATGCACACTACCATGTCATGGTACCGACACTAGTGTCTCAATGGCCAAAAATTTAAAATTTGCTGATTTCACTTTAATCAGATTTCATTTTTAATAATCTTAATACACCGGTATAAGCTCCAAACGGTCAAAAATGGATAACCTTAATATGCAACCATGAATAGGGCCATAATTCTTTATTCTAATTATCAACCTAAACTCTCCAAACTCCATAATTCATATTTTAAGTGTGTTCATCGTTTAGTTCTTCGGTCTTCATATTTTGACTTCCTAGGCCTTTTTTCTTTATTTTTATGCACACACACTGAGCTTGTGATCATATATCATACTCGTAGGTCCAATGGTTGATCTCTTTCTTTATCATAGGCCAAAAGCTGTTAAGCATTTTCCTGTGTTTTAGACACATTTTTTCATACCAATTGTAATATTTAAGGATAGCCGTATAGATCATTGTTTAAAAGGTTAAGGATAGCTAAGAAATCCTTCCGGAAAAGGTTCAACGATAGTCTTTCAAATCCTTGAAGCAGAAAGGTAAAAGATAGCCTTAAAATCTAGTGCGGTGTAAGTTTGAAACAGGTAGATCTTATTTGCAAGAGTTGTTTGCCAAATCTAGTGCGGTGTAAGTTTTGAAAGAGTTCAACATGCCAGAATTAGTGGATTCAAAAATCTTTGAGGAGCTGCTTTCAGTTACTAGAGTAAGAAGTTCTCAAACCAGTATAAAATAAGCAAGTCATTTATTTTTATGCTTTTATTTCTATGTTATTCTCATTGCTTCTATATTTGCCAACACCGATTTTATTCGACTCAAAAAAAGTTTAAACGCCTTATTTGTCTTCTTTTAAGGCGTGGGCGCATAGACTAACTCTATTTTTTGAAATTCCAGTTTAACATCAAATAAAGGACCAAACATGTATGTCGAGATGGATCTTCATTTTGTATGTGATGCATCACCCTCCTCGGAGTATATATGCTGATATTTTCACCAATTGACTCCCTCGAGTCCTCTTTCAATGTTTTAGGTCTAGTTTGAGCATTTGTTTTACTCCTGCTCGAAGTGCGGGGGACTTTTAGAGTATGTATTTGTATTTTGTAGATATTCTTGATTGTATTTTTAGTTAAGTGGAAATTCTCAGCCATACTTATATGCATTTAATTAGTATTCCAATCCCTTTTTATTAGGGGTCTATTCTTTATATTGAATGAAGCATCCAAAAATATACATACAGTAAATACTTTTAGCTGCTACCAAGATTGTGGTGAACAACTAAATGAAAATGAATGTTTTTGCCCCTTTTAAGTTAAAGACATATTCTTTTTATCTTACATACATATCATTATACTTATGCCTTACATAAATCTTTTATATGTACTTTTGATGATTTTGTTTGTAAATGCTTTGAAGCTTTTGTAATGAATGATCTTATTCTTAATTCAATTTAATGTCATTTCTTATTTTTATATTAATTTAAGTTTTTTATTTTATTTAAACTTTATCCAACATTAGGCAATTAGCTATTTAATGTTTTTCTATATATGCAAAATGGCGGGTCCAAGATTTGGACCGACTAGGGACACGAGTAGTACAAAAGTTCGAGGGTAGCACCTCGGTTTTTTTAAAATCAAAGTAAACTATAAAAAATAATTTTTAATAAAACATTCAAATAATTAACGAAAAATCTTAAAAGTACTCTCTGTAATTTTACTTTCTCTTGTAATTTTTATTTTCAAATTATCCTCTAGTTAATGTTATTGTTTAATTTTCATTTTTTAATTCTTTTATTTTAAGTTTAAATAATTTATTCATTTCAAAAAAAGTTTGAATAATTCATTTTTCTACTTGAACATTTTTTTCATTGAGGGAATTTTTTTTTTTCCATTGGGGGCAATATTAATTTTTAGGGAAATTTTAATCTATTAATTAAATACAAACAAAATTTCATTGGATAGTTGTAGAGTGGATCCGCCCATGTGCAAGTGTATGTGAAGAAGTGCATTCATACTTTGATACGTAGGTACAAAAGTATATGCTTTGCACACTTATTAGGATACTTAAACATTTTTAAAAAACATGCATGAGCAAAAACATCATAAAGGTGTACTTCGTTCCATATGATAAATGTGGAACACCACCAAAACACATAAATGCATAAAGATTGTTTATGATTCAAAACTTAATTTGAAATGAAATATCATAGTCTTGTATGTTATTGATTAATTAATGAAATGAGCAAGCCACCGTTCTATCAAATGGTTGAAAACTGATCTTCTCCCAAGCATATTTGAAGCTAATAGAAGAGTGAGGTTGAATAGGGAGACCCCCAACGAGCGTGCATTTATCATTGCCCGACGGAGCTATAATTTTAGAGTCCAATGCAAGAGTAGAGTTCTCAATTCCTGGACAAGTTATTTGAACATCTAAAAGGGCACAGTTACAAGGATTTTTAACTGTTACGTTCCATTCAGGTTGACCATGAATTTGAAATCCTGTCAACTCTTGTGAAATTGAGAGAAAAGGATTGCAGCCCTGAGCACTTACACAGTTACACCTGAGAAGATCAAAAGATACAAGATATGAAGAATTTGATACGACTCTATAAAAATTTAAACCCTAATTCACTTCTCTCACACATTGAGGTTTTAGTCATTAAAAATTTTGTTAATTACACTTTTTAAAATATAATTAGAAAACGTACCTTGAGAGGAGACTACAAGGAAAAGAAGCACGCAAAGGACATTGATGTAGACGTTTGTCATTTGATATTGAGATATAATCTCTAATATGTGACACTTTTACGAGACTTGTTTAATTTGTGGAGAGGATATTATACTCGTCAAGCTCTTCTCATTATATATAGGATTTTGTACAATTGGCTATTAGGTTTTTAAGGTAATATTATAACTCTAGATACGATATTAATCAAATGCTAACATAATTGCAAAAGATTTTAAGGAGTAATAACCGTTACTATGTTAAGTATATTCGAGGTGATAAATTAATTAGAAATCTAATAAATGATATTAAAAAAGGTTCCATATAGAAATCAAATTCTATATTCACTTTTTGCATAATTAATACATAATATTGCCAATTATTTAGATTTTATTGAGAAATTGACCACAACATTTAAATTTTTTAAAACTCTTTTCTCATTGGAAGATAAAACTACATTAGGAAAAGAATTCCACTTTTCTTAACTATTTTGTACTTCAAACTCTTTTTGGTGCATATTTGAATTTGGATTTCAATGGCCAGAAATTTCAAATTTGCTAATTTCACTCTAATAAGATTTAATATTCCTAAATCACCGATATAAGCTCCAAACAGTCATAAATGGACACCTTTAATATGCAACCATAACTAGGGCCATAATTCTTTATTCTAATCATTAACCTAAACTCTCTAAACTCCATATTGAAATCTCCATGAGATATAACACCTGCTTATCTCACGGAGTAGTGAGCACACACACTTGCTTATCTCACAAGCTCAGTGTGCAAGCATAAAAGTAAAGAAAACAAGGCCTAGGAAGTCAAAATATGAAGACTGAAGAACTAAAACATGAACACACTTTGAATACAAAGTATGGAGTTTAGAGAGTTTGAGTTGATAATTAGAATAAAGAAGTATGACCCTATTTATTGTTTCATATTAAAGGTGTTTAGACACTTTTTTTCTTACCAGTTGTAATGTTCGAGGGTAGCCGTATAAATCATTCTTTAAAAGGTTATATATGCTGATATTCTTACCAAATGACTCCTCCAAATCCTCTTTCAAAGTTTTAGGTCTAGTTTGAGCATTTCTTCGACTCCTGCTCTAATTGCAGGGGACTATTAGTGTAGAATT